TAGCATGTAGCCTAGCTTTAGCATGTAGTCTAGCTTTAGCCATCTCCTTTGCCACTATCGGAGCCCGTGGGGAGTAGAGCCACAACATCTTCGCTTCAATGACATTTACTAAACATTCTTCTTGCTCCGGCTTCAGTTTCTTGATATTTGGATTGAACCAGAACAGATTATTTTACTTTCGCATTCTCCGACAAACTACAACCAGCAAATTCAGCACAAACTTTTAATGTCACCGAAACCGACCTACAACACCCGCCTCCCCCGCTCTCTGATTGGTCGGAGGGGATTCAACCGAGGAAACTGCAGCCACTAGGATCAGACCCAGACATACATGTAGGAAATGACCATGGACCAGAGTTTACACATGGTAAGACCAGACGTACATGTAGGAAATGATCATGGACCAGAGTTTACACATGGTAAGACCAGACGTACATGTAGGAAATGACCATGGACCAGAGTTTACACATGGTAAGACCAGACGTACATGTAGGAAATGACCATGGACCAGAGTTTACACATGGTAAGACCAGACGTACATGTAGGAGATGATCATGGACCAGAGTTTACACATGGTAAGACCAGACGTACATGTAGGAAATGACCATGGACCAGAGTTTACACATGGTAAGACCAGACGTACATGTAGGAAATGACCATGGACCAGAGTTTACACATGGTAAGACCAGACGTACATGTAGGAAATGACCATGGACCAGAGTTTACACATGGTAAGACCAGACGTACATGTAGGAGATGATCATGGACCAGAGTTTACACATGGTAAGACCAGACGTACATGTAGGAAATGACCATGGACCAGAGTTTACACATGGTAAGACCAGACGTACATGTAGGAAATGACCATGGACCAGAGTTTACACATGGTAAGACCAGACGTACATGTAGGAAATGACCATGGACCAGAGTTTACACATGGTAAGACCAGACGTACATGTAGGAAATTATCATGGACCAGAGTTTACACATGGTAAGACCAGACGTACATGTAGGAAATTATCATGGACCAGAGTTTACACATGGTAAGACCAGGATAGTCTTTTCCTAAAATGTGGGAAAATTCTCTTAGTACTTTTGATGAACAGGTTGTATTTTGAACCGTGTTATGTCGGACCATATTTTAGTCTTGACTAAGCAGCTTTTGACCACTTTTACATTATTTTCATTACTATTTATAAATGTGTATAACTTATAAAAACCTTTGTACAGATTCCAAGTCTCTCTTCTGAACTGCAAAAACACACTGAAAAAAAAATAGATAAAATATAAGGTAATTACAGCTTGAATAAAGTGGTTTTATTTCAATTTTGCGCACATGTTGACAGTCTAAAAACAAGATTTACCATTGGGACAAGCAAAAATGTCTTGTTTTAATACGCTACAAGACAAATCCAGAAATGTCTCCCTTGGAATGAGACAAAAATCGCAACAGCACTTGAAAAAAGGCCGAACGGTCTCTCTCTGGTCCCTCTCTGGACTCTCTCTGGTCTCTCTCTGGTCTCTCTCTGGTCTCTCTCTGGCCTCTCTCTGGTCCCTCTCTGGTCTCTCTCTCTGGTCTCTCTCTGGTCCCTCTCTGGACTCTCTCTGGTCTCTCTCTGGTCTCTCTCTGGTCTCTCTCTGGCCTCTCTCTGGTCCCTCTCTGGCCTCTCTCTGGCCTCTCTCTGGTCCCTCTCTGGACTCTCTCTGGCCTCTCTCTGGTCTCTCTCTGGCCTCTCTCTGGTCCCTCTCTGGCCTCTCTCTGGTCCCTCTCTGGACTCTCTCTGGCCTCTCTCTGGTCTCTCTCTGGCCTCTCTCTGGTCCCTCTCTGGCCTCTCTCTGGTCCCTCTCTGGTCTCTCTCTGGCCTCTCTCTGGTCTCTCTCTGGCCTCTCTCTGGTCCCTCTCTGGACTCTCTCTGGTCCCTCTCTGGCCTCTCTCTGGTCTCTCTCTGGCCTCTCTCTGGCCTCTCTCTGGCCTCTCTCTGGCCTCTCTCTGGTCCCTCTCTGGACTCTCTCTGGTCCCTCTCTGGTCTCTCTCTGGTCTCTCTCTGGCCTCTCTCTGGTCCCTCTCTGGCCTCTCTCTGGTCCCTCTCTGGCCTCTCTCTGGCCACTCTCTGGTCCCTCTCTGGACTCTCTCTGGTCCCTCTCTGGCCTCTCTCTGGTCTCTCTCTGGCCTCTCTGGTCTCTCTCTGGCCTCTCTCTGGTCTCTCTCTCTCTGGTCTCTCTCTGGCCTCTCTCTGGTCTCTCTCTCTCTGGACTCTCTCGGGTCTCTCTCTGGCCTCTCTCTGGTCCCTCTCTGGCCTCTCTCTGGTCTCTCTCTGGCCTCTCTCTGGTCCCTCTCTGGCCTCTCTCTGGTCTCTCTCTGGTCTCTCTCTGGTCTCTCTCTGGCCTCTCTCTCTCTGGTCTCTCTCTGGTCTCTCTCTGGCCTCTCTCTGGTCTCTCTCTGGTCTCTCTCTGGTCTCTCTCTGGTCTCTCTCTGGTCTCTCTCTGGCCTCTCTCTCTCTGGCCTCTCTCTGGTCTCTCTCTGGACTCTCTCTGGTCTCTCTCTGGCCTCTCTCTGGTCCCTCTCTGGCCTCTCTCTGGTCTCTCTCTGGCCTCTCTCTGGTCTCTCTCTGGCCTCTCTCTGGTCCCGCTCTGGCCTCTCTCTGGTCTCTCTCTGGCCTCTCTCTGGTCTCTCTCTGGTCTCTCTCTCTGGTCTCTCTCTGGTCCCTCTCTGGTCTCTCTCTGGCCTCTCTCTGGTCTCTCTCTGGCCTCTCTCTGGTCTCTCTCTGGTCTCTCTCTCTGGTCTCTCTCTGGTCTCTCTCTGGTCCCTCTCTGGCCTCTCTCTGGTCCCTCTCTGGTCTCTCTCTGGCCTCTCTCTGGTCTCTCTCTGGCCTCTCTCTGGTCCCTCTCTGGTCTCTCTCTGGCCTCTCTCTGGTCCCTCTCTGGTCTCTCTCTGGCCTCTCTCTGGTCTCTCTCTGGCCTCTCTCTGGTCCCTCTCTGGACTCTCTCTGGTCCCTCTCTGGACTCTCTCTGGTCCCTCTCTGGCCTCTCTCTGGTCCCTCTCTGGTCTCTCTCTGGTCTCTCTCTGGCCTCTCTCTGGCCTCTCTCTGGCCTCTCTCTGGCCTCTCTCTGGTCCCTCTCTGGCCTCTCTCTGGCCACTCTCTGGTCCCTCTCTGGACTCTCTCTGGTCTCTCTCTGGCCTCTCTCTGGTCTCTCTCTGGCCTCTCTCTGGTCCCTCTCTGGCCTCTCTCTGGTCCCTCTCTGGCCTCTCTCTGGCCACTCTCTGGCCTCTCTCTGGTCCCTCTCTGGCCTCTCTCTGGCCACTCTCTGGTCCCTCTCTGGACTCTCTCTGGTCCCTCTCTGGCCTCTCTCTGGTCTCTCTCTGGCCTCTCTCTGGTCTCTCTCTGGCCTCTCTCTGGTCTCTCTCTCTCTGGACTCTCTCTGGTCTCTCTCTGGCCTCTCTCTGGTCCCTCTCTGGCCTCTCTCTGGTCTCTCTCTGGCCTCTCTCTGGTCCCTCTCTGGCCTCTCTCTGGTCTCTCTCTGGTCTCTCTCTGGTCTCTCTCTGGCCTCTCTCTCTCTGGTCTCTCTCTGGTCTCTCTCTGGCCTCTCTCTGGTCTCTCTCTGGCCTCTCTCTCTCTGGCCTCTCTCTGGTCTCTCTCTGGACTCTCTCTGGTCTCTCTCTGGCCTCTCTCTGGTCTCTCTCTGGCCTCTCTCTGGTCCCTCTCTGGCCTCTCTCTGGTCTCTCTCTGGTCTCTCTCTGGTCTCTCTCTGGCCTCTCTCTCTCTGGTCTCTCTCTGGTCTCTCTCTGGCCTCTCTCTGGTCTCTCTCTGGCCTCTCTCTCTCTGGCCTCTCTCTGGTCTCTCTCTGGACTCTCTCTGGTCTCTCTCTGGCCTCTCTCTGGTCCCTCTCTGGCCTCTCTCTGGTCTCTCTCTGGCCTCTCTCTGGTCTCTCTCTGGCCTCTCTCTGGTCCCTCTCTGGTCTCTCTCTGGTCTCTCTCTGGCCTCTCTCTGGTCTCTCTCTGGTCCCTCTCTGGCCTCTCTCTGGCCTCTATCTGGCCTCTCTCTGGTCCCTCTCTGGACTCTCTGAAGCAGGATTATGAAAAACTCAAAGACAACAACAACCAGAGCAATTCCAACCATAAAAATAAAAAATAAGAAGGGAATACGCGACGATCAAACCACACCACGTTGCCGAGGGTCCTACTCTGCAGTGGAAACACGACCACAAAGAGACCGAGGGAGAGACCGGTCCCTGAAGAAGTCCCACCCCCTCCTTTTACCAGGAACTCCTACGGTGGAAATGCGACTAATGTTATCGTCAAAATATAGTCTTCAGAGTCATACGTATATTTGTTGTAGTGTCAGATTACTGCCAACCCATGAATAGTTCTAATAATACCATGTGTCGTCTGGTCCAGTCTCTCCAGATCGACTCATAACCCGTTTCCACACTAGTTTCGGTGTCAACTTTAGTGAAATTTGATGACTTAGTGCTGCGTGAGTTTGTCAGCAGTGTGGCCGTGAACACAGAGACCCTGGGAACGCGCCGTACCCCATTCTTTCAGCCACCCTCTGAAAGTGTAACTCTGTAAGGAAATGCTGAATAGTGAGACACAGAGAGACCCTTTTTCAGCCCAGCCTTTCTTTACATCGTAACTTTACTCCGGGCCTTCCACTACAACACCTTGACGAGGAGAATCCCGTCAGATAATGGGTTGTGTAGGGACACCACTGCTGCAGGCGGCGTCCTGGTAATTGCGGCGTGTTTCCTTGTGAAATAGACGGAGAGATGACGTGGGAATGGGCAAGTCTCCAAAAGATACTTGCCAAATGGCTGTGATCATGCTGCAGAATGAGACCAAATGTGATTTAAAGGTTCCATGGTCAATCCTATGCACCTGTGTGATACTGATTTAACACTTAAAACTCGAGACATTTCTTGTATTTAGATGACATCACCTCGACTCAAACAGGCTGATCCAGAGTCTGCTCCTCTGTCTATGTGTACGCCTCCCCCCACCCTCACCCGCCTCCCCCTGCCCTCACCTGCCTCTCCCCACCCTCACCCCCCCCCCCCCCCACCCTCACCCGCCTCTCCCCACCCTCACCCGCCTCCCCCCACCCGCATGGTGCGAGTTGTTTATCCCTGGTACAACAGTTGACGTGATCTTTACACTTTTATAGTCACTGACAAAAGCAGAAAAACAGTAAAGCTCCATGTGCTCTCCGCAGGACCAAACCACAGAGATACTGTACATTAGACTCGGGAGCCGGACTCGGGAGCTGGACTCGGGAGCCGGACTCGGGGGCGGGACTCGGGAGCCGGACTCGGGAGCCGGACTCGGGAGCCGGACTCGGGGGCGGGACTCGGGAGCCGGACTCGAGAGCCGGACTCGGCAGCCGAACTCGGGGGCGGGACTTGGGAATTGGACTCGGAAGCAGGACTCGGGAGCAGGACTCGGGAGCCGGACTCGGGGGCGAGACTCGGGAGCAGGACCTGGGAGCAGGACTCGGGGGCGGGACTCAGGAGCCGAACTCGGGAGCCGGACTCGGCAGCCGGACTCGGGGGCGGGACTTGGGAATTGGACTCGGGAGCAGGACTCGGGAGCAGGACTCGGGAGCCGGACTCGGGGGCGAGACTCGGGAGCAGGACCTGGGAGCAGGACTCGGGGGCGGGACTCAGGAGCCGGACTCGGGAGCCGGACTCGGCAGCCGGACTCGGGGGCGGGACTTGGGAATTGGACTCGGGAGCAGGACTCGGGAGCCGGACTCGGGGGCGGGACTCGGGAGCAGGACTCGGGGGCGGGACTTGGGAATTGGACTCGGGAACAGGACTCGGAGCAGGACTCGAGAGCCGGACTTGAGAGCCGGACTCGAGAGCCGGACTCGGAGCCGGACTCGGGAGCCGGACTTGAGAGCCGGACTCGAGAGCCGGACTCGGAGCCGGACTCGCAGCCGGACTCGAGAGCCGGACTCGAGAGCCGGACTCGGGAGCCGGACTCGGGAGCCGGACTCGGGGGCGGGACTCGGGAGCAGGACCTGGGAGCAGGACTCGGGGGCAGGACTCGGGAGAAGGACTCGGTAGCCGGACTCGAGAGCCGGACTCGAGAGCCGGACTCGAGAGCCGGACTTGAGAGCCGGACTCGAGAGCCGGACTCGGAGCCGGACTCGAGGGCCGGACTCGAGAGCCGGACTCGAGAGCCGGACTTGAGAGCCGGACTCGAGAGCCGGACTCGGAGCCGGACTCGGAGCCGGACTCGGAGCCGGACTCGAGGGCCGGACTCGAGAGCCGGACTCGGGAGCCGGACTCGGGAGCCGGACTCGGGGGCGGGACTCGGGAGCAGGACTCGGGAGCAGGACTCGGGAGCCGGACTCGGGGGCGGGACTCGGGAGCCGGACTCGGGAGCCGGACTCGGGGGCGGGACTTGGGAATTGGACTCGGGAGCAGGACTCGGGAGCAGGACTCGGGGGCGGGACTCGGGAGCAGGACCTGGGAGCAGGACTCGGGGGCGGGACTCGGGAGCCGGACTCGGGAGCCGGACTCGGGGGCGGGACTTGGGAATTGGACTCGGGAGCAGGACTCGGGAGCCGGACTCGGGGGCGGGACTCGGGAGCAGGACCTGGGAGCAGGACTCGGGGGCGGGACTTGGGAATTGGACTCGGGAGCAGGACTCGGTAGCCGGACTCGAGAGCCGGACTCGAGAGCCGGACTTGAGAGCCGGACTCGAGAGCCGGACTCGGAGCCGGACTCGGAGCCGGACTCGGAGCCGGACTCGAGAGCCGGACTCGGGAGCCGGACTCGGGAGCCGGACTCGGTAGCCGGACTCGAGAGCCGAACTCGAGAGCCGGACTCGAGAGCCGGACTCGAGAGCCGGACTCGGAGCCGGACTCGGAGCCGGACTCGGAGCCGGACTCGGAGCCGGACTCGGAGCCGGACTCGAGAGCCGGACTCGGGAGCTGGCTGCGCGCTGTGATTCTGTTTCAGTTTGTCCATCACCTCCTGGATTTCAGTGTTTTTATTCTTCTTATTATTATTGAAAACAAACCAGCATACTTAATGTGTATCCCTGATTTGACGACAGTATTTAAAAACCATTTTAAAGACAAAGCAAACGGGCTTCTGCGCTTCATATTGGTCATCAGTGTGGACCCGGGCGTTTCAGAAGGACACAGATCGCTCTGAAGCTTAAAGGAGTCAATGAAAAAACTACTCAGGGCCAATAGCTGTAATCATGTTTAAAGCAGAGATAAGTCAAAAAGCAGAATATGGGACCTTTAAACATATAAGAGAAGTAGTTTAAGATAGGTCTGACCCGGTTCTTTCTCTTCAGGAGCTTTTGAAGGACTCAGATTCTACACAACCTTTAACAGTCTGTCTGTGGGGTTGATTGTCGGGGCGCCAGATTGACCCAGAGTCAGTAAACGGGCAGACCAGCTGATCAGGAATGAGGAGAAAAGTGTGGACTCTGTGGAAATGTGTTCAGGAGAGAAGAAGGAGCAGTGTTGGTGTTGGCTGTGACTCAATATAACGGGGTTTGTTCAGACTAACGTTAGCTTTTAATCATCAGAAGATACATTATGTTCATTAGAAGTGTCTAAAACAGTTTTATAAGTTAGTCAAGTTTCCTAAAGCGGTTAATGTTTATTTTATCAAGTTAACTAATTAAATTATAAACCAGACCATCATTTTTGTTTCTTCAAGTTTAATTTTTAGAGAAAAATTGGGAGAAACCATCACGTCCGTTACACATTTCAAGAGTCATTTACATTTGTGTTGATTTTTTCTTTAATGATTCCTTTTTAAATCAAGTTATTTCCTGATGTTGTTAATCTTAATCTTGTGGGATTTAATCTGCTGCTTGTTCAGACTGAGGACATTTTATTTTCTGTCTCTGAGTCACAGAATGATTCAATCAGAGGCTGATCTGGGCGTTTAAAATGTCAGCAAAAATGTATTTGTAAATCTTTCCTTTGATTTTAACAACACTGTCTGTCATGGTGTGGACTTTTTGGATTATTTTAACCTGATTTTATTTGTTCTGTTGTTTGAGTTTACTTCCTGTCTGTCCTGTCCACCTGTGTCTCCGGTCTGTATTTACACCCTGTGCTTTTTCTCCATTGTCTTTTCTAGTTTTGTCCCTGTCTAATTTTTCAGATCTGGATTTTTGTGCATTTTGTCACTGATTCTGGACGTTATTAAATTACACATTTGATTTTTTAAGTCCTGCATTTTTGGGTTCCCCTTTTCTTCATTTCGACACGTGACACCGTCTCTTTGATCTGTCTGTGCTTAAAATCCCTTTCCCAATCTATGAAAGTAATTTTAGTTTTTTGAGTTATAACCTTTTAAAGTCCAGATATGTTAAATGTCACTTCACTGCGAACACAAACATTACCTTTTGAGTCACTACTGTAATGCATTACTTTGAAAATTTTCTTTGGGCTTCAGAATTGGAGCGAACCATGTTTTTCACACTTATTATTGCAGAACACAGCTTATTTTCTTTGGGCTTCAGAATTGGAGCGAACCATGTTTTTTCACAGTCATGTTTTGCAAGACACAGAGACACAGAGACACAGACACACACACAGACACACAGAGACACAGAGACACACACACACACACACACAGACACACACAGACACAGAGACACAGAGACACAGACACACACACAGACACACAGAGACACAGAGACACACACACACACACACACACACACACACAGACACACAGACACACACACACACACACACACAGAGACACAGAGACACAGAGACACACACACACACACACACACACAGACACAGAGACACACACACACACACACACACACACCAGGAACGCTCTATACATGGCCTGATGAAAAATGCCTCATCTTCAGCTTTGTTTTTGTGTATGACGAAACTATCTTCCTTAGTGTAATTATACCTCTCCTTCTTACTATGGAGAAAGCACTGAGCAAGTCCATAGATGTGTAAATGTTTTTTTTACTGGTTTTTGGAGGTAGAATTGTGG